ATCTGAATGGGCTACAGTGGGAAGCTATTCAATCTAAACAGTTAAGAGAGAAAAGCAAGATGCAAGGCTGTGCCTACTGTGCACACTTATTTATGCTTATCAGAAGTAGGGGTGGAGGAATTTATAACAGATGTGTACAATTATATACTCTATGTATATGAACATTTCTAGAAGCTGTCTTCAGAACTGTGGATGGTAGTTGCCTCTGGGGAATAGGACCAGGAATCTGGGGACGCAGATACTTTTTGTTTTATATTCTCTTTTTGAGAGAATAAGTCACCTTATTTTCACATTTTTTAAAAAAGTCCCTAGTGCCTGAATCTCAAAGTGAGACTAATGTGCAAATTCCTGCAAAATTTCATTAGCATACTTGAGATACTTTGTCTCTTCCAGGGACCTATGATTCTACTAACAGTAGCAAAATAAATAATCTATAGGACAGTAAGCATTTTTGTAACTCACCCTAACTGAATTTTGTTTATGCAATTACTTTTAGAAAAGTAACTCTCTACTGAAAAGAGAAATTTTAAATTCCATTTCCCAGGAAAATAAAACCATGGCTTAAAAGGTAGTTCTAAAACAAATTTTATGGGACTAAGCTGGAATTGCCAAGTCATAAATATAAGTTTTTAAGTAAAAATCCCATTAAGATATTGTATGCTAATTTCACATCTTATATAACATCATAAAATACTGTCTTCTTAAGGGATCAATGCCACTGAAATATTTCCATTGAGAACTGGGCTGCCCAAGGCTCACAGCTTTGAAACTGTATTTCATGGGCAATCATGTTTCCCATAACAACTCTTCACTGATAATACTCATAGGAGCAGACCATGGCTGTGTATGATAGGCGTATATATACAGTTGTGTCTTGGAATCCATGGGGGATTGGTTCTAGGACCTGCTGCAGATACCAAAATCTGTGGGTGCTCAAGTCCCTGATATAAAATGATGTAGTATTTGCATATAAAGCCACACACATCCTCCCGTATACTTTAAATCATCTCTATATTATTTCTACCTAATACAATGTAAATGCTATGTAAATAGTTATATTGTATTGTTTAGGGAATAATGATAAGAAAAAAACCCTCTGGATCTGTTCAGTACAGATGCAATTTTTTTTTCCGAAATATTTTTGACCTTGGTTGGTTAAATCCATGAACATGAAACCCATGGATGTGGAGGGCTAACTGTATATCCGTTCATGGCAACAGAAAGGTCACAGAGTTCATCTAGAGACTGTTTACATACAGTTCATGTGATTCTTGAGGCTAGACTGTTTTACCTGTGATTCTTAAGTTTGGTGTTTTTGTTTGTTTTTTGAGACAGTGTCTTGCTCTAATACCAGACTGGAGTACAGTGGTGCAATCACAGCTCACTGCAGCCTTGACCCCCCCAGGTTCAATTGATTCTCCTACTTCAGCCTCCCTAGTAGCTGGGATGACAGGTGCACACCATCACACTGCGCTAATTTTTGTATTTTTTGTAGAGATGACGTTTCGCCATGTTGCCCAGGCTGGTCTTGAACTCCTGGGTTTCAAGCAATCTGCCTGCCCCGGCCTCCCAAAGCTGGGATTACAGGCATGAGCCAGTGTGCCCAAATGGTTCTCAAGTTTTGGTTTTGTCCTTCAAAAATCGTTTCTATAGCAACAACTACAAAAAAAAATTAATGTTATCTCCTTAAGGTTAAAGTCAGTTTCTCAGAAGACAAAGCAGGGTAAGACTACTTTCACTTTAAAAATTTTTTTCAGTGGTTCTAGGATTCATTTTTAAATGAAGCAATGCTAAAAGCAGATTACAAGGTATATTTGCAGTGTTTGCATTTAACTGATTGTTAAAACATTAAAAACTGTTTGGCATTTGAGCACGCACATCCCCTAGAGATCCAGAAATTACATTTGTAGGTTAGGAGAATACATTGAAAATATATACAGCAGCATCACTTGCAAAAGAAAAAGCAACAAAAGCAACCACAAAAAACGACAACCCACAAATAATCCAAAGCCTATGGGCAATAAAATGGATACACACACACACACACGCACACACACATGCGCACACACACACTCACACACACACACAGACTGTTTATTTCTGGAATGAAATAAACCAGAGCTACAAGAATTAAAATGGGCCAGGCACAATGGCTCCCACCTATAATCCCAGCATTTTGGGAAGCCAAGGCTGGTAGATCACATGAGCCCAGAGTTTGAGATCAATCAGCCTGGGCAACATGATGAAATGCTGCTGCTACCAAAGAAAAAAAGATTAGCCAGGCATGGTGGCACACACACCTGTAGTTCCAGCTATTTGGAAGGCCGAGGCAAGAGGATGAGCCTGGGAGGTCGAGGCTGCAGTGAGCCAATATTGCATCACTGCACTCCAGCCTGGGTATGACTAAATCTTAAAACAAGCAAGTCAAAGAACACATCCTGTATGAATTCTACTTTATAAAGGCCAAATGCAGGCAAGCTCTTGTTTAGGTATGAGCACACACGTGGTACAAGAGAAAAATCTTGAGAACAGTTAACATAAACCTCAGGGCAGTGATAATCTCTTGGCAGTGGGAGGGCTTGTGATTAGGGATGCTCAATCAGGGAAGAAGGCCACAGGGTCAAGTTCAACTCCTTACTCTGAGTATAACACACAGAGGTGTTTCATGTTATTATTTTTTTTAATGGAATACCTTCTTTGTGTAATATTAGTTTACCAACATTTTAAAATAAAAACTATGAAGTAAATTATACAGTACAATAACCAAAATATGTGTGTGTGTGTGTGTCTATGTGTGTGTGAGAGTGTGTGTCTGTCTGTGTGTGTGTGTTTGCTCAATCTGTAGAATGAATGACTTCTTTCAATCCTATTGCTTTATCTCTGGTTCTATACTTAACTCTTTGGGTAATGTTAAAATCTAAATTTGAGATCCTACTTAAAACATAACCTGGTCTCAAAGGCCCTCAGGTCACCACTGCAATGATCTTCCTGGATCATTATCCTCACTGGTTACACAAAGGAATGCGAAGCATGTAGGCAGGAGAAAGCCCTGTAATTTCCCCCAAGCCACAGGTCATCCCCTGGAAGAAAAACAACCTACTCTCCATAAGCTGACTGGAAAGGAACAGGTGGGAAGGAGAGCAGAGGGGCCCCAGCATTGTCAGGGTTTCTCCAGAATGGCCTGCCAACCAGGACAAGCCCTGTTCCCAAATCTTTTTGAACAGTCTGGCACAGAAAGCAGCTGTAACTGTTTTACAAGCAGTGCTCTTGCAGTTTGGGGAGCATTTTCCCTTTTATTCCAACTGCAACTGTGTGCGTCAAGCTCTGTCAGCTGTTGTGCTCACAGCGTTACGAGGCTATCAGATGATTTGCTGTCGGAACAACTGGCCCCTTTGATTTTTTTTTTAAATAACAGAATTTTGTTTTCTCTTTTTTGGAGACAGAGTCTTACTCTGTCATCCAGGCTGGAGTACAATGCCGTGATCTTGGCTCACTACAACCTCCGCCTCCCGGGTGCAAGCAATTCTCCTATCTCAGCCTCCCGAGTAGCTGGGATTACAGGTGCTGCCACCACACACGGCTAATTTTTATATTTTATACAACAGAAATGTAATCGCCAAGATGCAAATGATCCAATGGCAAGCAGCAAACTCCTCCAACTTTCCCCTACCCTGAGGGGTTTTGGTTTTTGAAGACTGGGGATCGCTATCAACAATGGGCAAACCTTTGCTACAGAACTGACTGGGGAGAAAAAACCTGAATAAATGTGTGCAAATATGTTAATATTCACAGACGAAAAGAAAGATCATAATTTGTGTCAATATACAGAAGTCTTCTATGACAAAGAGCCACAAGTGAATACAGATTCCCCATGAGATGAACAGCTCCCACAGGCAGAGATCACATGAACCCAGGCCTTCACCACCTTATGGGGAAAGAATCCCACTCTGGGGTGTCCAGCATGGTCTGAGAAGCCCCAGTACAGATGCACTCTCCATTTCCCCCTACAGCTGCTTCCTCTCCCAGCCCACAGCTCAAGGCAGCCGCCACACCCTTCTTCCCCAAGGTTGGCAGGGCAGCGTCACACAAAGTCAGTTTCACAGAGTTTCAAGTTTCTAGGCAAGGCAGGACAACTCAAAGATACCCATTTGTCGAAAGATGAGATGTGAAAGTACAAAGTTAGATTCCAACTCAGAGCCTGGTTAGACCCAGGGTTACTTTCGAACTCCCAGGATGTGGGAGGAGACCTGGCTCTTATCCAGCCAGTAGCCGGCACAATCCAACCCAGATTATTTGTCCATCTGTTAAATCACTCATACTGGACTGACATTTCTAAAAAGACATAACAATAAGGAGACTGGTGGTTCATTAGGCATTTAGGCAGTTTAAATACCTAGAAACCCACTGAGAAATTGGGGAGGGATTTGGGCAAGCACAAAGATAACTGTTAAGAGCACAAAGACAAATCGTATTTCTTTCCAGCATCTCTCAGGATATTAATGACCACAAAGCTCCACAATACATATTTACACACTCTGGCTGAAACGGAAAAGCCGTGAAAAGACTTACCAAGGGCCACACAGCAAACCAGGGAGCAGAGCAGGATCGGCAGCCAGCTCACCTTCCTGCCCGAGGCATTTGAATCTGCAAGGCAGGCGGGCTAGATATTCCAAACAGCACCTACCGTATGACTCAGCCTGGACTTTGGAGATACTGCTCACATTATCTCTGAGTATTCCTGTGTTTGTCTCAGAGAAACTCCACGCCCTGCACTGTACCCAATACAAATGCCAGTAATAATGCACTGTATTCAACACACTGCTGTACAAATGGGCTCTTTGTGCTGCCAGTAAAAGAAATCCACATTCTATATCTTCGCAGGGAGGTCGACGACCAGGGTGCCTGCTATCAATCACCCCGACTCTGGGATTGCAAGAGCACAGACATTGGGTCTGGTACTCTCTCTTTACCAACAAGTAAATGGGCTCAGCTCAACAAACCTTGTTAGGTTGAGCAAATGCCAGCCGTGGACTGGGCACAGGAAACACCACCGTGATGAAGGCAGAGCAAAGGGGCCAGCCAGCGCCAAGGGCAGGGAAGTGGCTTAAAGACAGTGAGCAGTCAGGAGACTCTCCCTCTGTTGATTCATTTGTGAGAAGACACTTGCTGGGTGTCTCTGTGTGTCAGGCGCAGCAAGGCGTGCTGTGGAGGCAGAGGCATAGCCCCCTCCTGACTTAGTGGCCCCGGGGGAGAGAAACAATGACAGCTACAGATAAGTGCCAGGAGAGTACTTGGTACTAATCGAGCATTTGGGAGGGGTGACTAAGGGGGACAGAAGAGGAAAGGGGGAGGGGACAAAGTCAGTGGAAAGCAGAAACAAAGGCTCATCAGAAGGTGAATCAGTTAGAGAGAGGTAAGGATTTGGAGGACTTGGTGCAGGAGAAGACTAGGATGTCAGATGGGTCAGACCCTGAGAATCCCACTTAAATCACGTGAGGTATCTGGAGTACACCCTGCAGGTCCCTTGGCAGCCGTATAGAGAATTAGGATGATCAGATCCCTGTTTTAGACAAGTCCTTCTGAGAAAGCAAGATGGAAAATGCCCTTCTGTGGAGCCAACTGAAGCCTGCTGGGGCAATCTATGGGAAGACCTGGTGAAGGCTGGATGTAGGGTGGTCGAGAGAAGCCTATGAAGGAGATGGAATAAGAGGACTTGACATCACCTGGATGTGGGGGTGCAGGGGCAAGTCAAGGAAAGCCCCACTTCTGTTTCATTCTTTCTGGTAGCTAAGATTATCCACAAGACAGGCAAGAGTGTTCAGCCTGAGACATCATGAACCTAAGGTTCCCATGGGACCTTTAAACACAGCTGTCCTGATAGACACAGAGAAAGGGACAGAAGAAACAGCACTGGCGCCCATCGGTGACAGTGCCTTAGACACCTCTCTGAGGAGACTAGCATAGACGACCAGACCTGATCAAACACCAGCTCTGCCTCTTAGCAGCTATGTGAACTCGGGCAAGTAAATTCACCTGTTTGGGACTCTAGTCTCACCTAAGGAAATTCCTTTTGGCATTTAATGAAATTGGAAAAGGACATGATGTCATGGCAAACAGAATATATTTAATATTTTCCTCTTGCCCTTTTGTGATCATATACTGCTTTGTATTATAATTGAGTACTTAACCTTTGCAGCAGATTACCAGTTTTCTTGCTGTCACTCACCTTTAAATCCCTTTTGACCATATTTGTAGGCACAGATTCTCAAATATTTGAATTGCCACAAGTCATATGAAAAACTAAGGCCAGACTGTTCTAGGGGACCAGGGGTTTCCTGCCTTTGACATTAAATAACAAATGCAAAGGTCTCAAAATTGCCATATGGCTTAAGTGCTGTTGATTTAACTCTGTGTTGAGGGGTGGGATGGAGAGAAAAGGGCAGCGGGGTTTGGGAAAGAGGGAGAATTTTGTCAGCCTAATGAAGGCAAGTCAAAGCCTACTCTGTGAACACTATACTGTAATATTTAAGAGGAAGAGTGTCTACCAAAGTTAATATTGTATAGCCTCTATCCTCTGGCTCAGTTCAAGTAAAGGTTTTAAGTCATGTTAAATAATAAATTCCAGCAAATGGATCTTGCCTTCAACCAAATATTAAGTCAATAGTACACTCTGTATATGAGAAGTATAGACTTTCTTTGCTAGGTCATTTTGCTAATTCTATTTATAACTCTTACAATGAATATTTTAAAACTACAATAAGATTTTTGAAACCAGACTGACCAAAAAGGCATACATAATTCAATTCCACATAGCTAAGCTTGTTCATTTTTCTTCAGGTTTTGCCTTTACATCTGGGCTCCAACTTGTCTTTACCTATTTTTATGGCTCCTTCCTAGTCTGAAAATATCTTGGTCACTGGATATTTTGTTTCATCTCCAGCTTAGCTCCTAAAATACATTCAGGATCACTTATTCCCTCTCATTCTTCCCTAGTGGCTTCATATGTTCCCATCCATTCACCCAGAGCCCAGTTCAGTACACGTACCTCACGTTCTGTGTCTCAGTCACAAATATCTTTTTTTTTGAGACGGAGTTTCACTCTTGTTACCCAGGCTGGAGTGCAATGGCGCGATCTCGGCCCACGGCAACCTCCGCCTCCTGGGTTCAGGCAATTCTCCTGCCTCAGCCTCCGGAGTAGCTGGGATTACAGGCATGCGCCACCATGCCCAGCTAACTTTTTGTATTTTTAGTAGAGACGGGGTTTCACAGAGTTGACCAGGATGGTCTCGATCTCTTGACCTCGTGATCCACCCACCTCGGCCTCCCAAAGTGCTGGGATTACAGGCTTGAGCCACCGCGCCTGGCCCACAAATATCTTTTATAAAAACCTGCCCACGTTTTTAATACAAAATGATCTGGCAACTGCCTCAAAGTTCTCTATTTGGCTCATTTAATTATTTTGATTAAATGTAGATAATGATTCCATTCAGAGCTAATGGTGTTCAGGACTACTCTTATTCCTGGCTGTCTTCAACCTGGGCACATGTGACATGCCTCAAGCATGACCAGTTTGAGAGGACACTTTGGTCCCTAAGGGCCGAGGAAGAACAAATCCCCCTCCCTCACATCTGCAGTCCTAACCTGAGGTTCTTGCCTCTCTCTGATGTTTCTGGATTCTGGGTGGCTCCCATTAAACACATGATTCACATCCCCATCCTTCTTAGCCAGCCTCTAAGATTTTGACACCCCACTGACATACAGACCCAAGATACCTTCTAGTTCTTCTCTGCCTTGAATAGACTTGAACATCGCAGACGTGAATAGACTCAACTTTATTTGTGTGTCTATAAGATGCTCTCCTACCCCACTGCCAATAGGGGGAAAAATGAAAGCAGATCAATGGCCAGATTAGATGGAATCTGCCACCGAGAAGGCAACATCCCCATGGCACCCAGCCCCTGGTCTACTTGAGTTATTCCTCAGACACTGATGAGAGGTGCAGTCTCAGGGAGAGACTACTGAGACGTAATCCTTTCCCTTTACACATGATTTTTGACATATGCATCACATACACATACACATGTCTGACTCCACCACTGTGACTCACATTGAGGTGGTGTTTAAAAGGCACAGCATCTCAGTGCTAATACATTACTTCACTAAGAATTGCTCTATGGCTTCTCCTACCGGAGCAGGTCACATCTAGGAAATTGTTTGCCTGACCTTGGGCAGGATTTTCTCACTATTACCTCATGCCCCAGGGCCATCTTCCTTTCTTCAAAACCCAGATCAGGATCTGCAACCTCCTATGACCCAAAACATCCTCCTTATAAATTCAGGATTCATGACTAAGCCAGTCCCTACCCTTTTCTTTCTCTGAACACTTTTTAAATACCTTTTAAATTCTATCTTTCTCACATTTCTCCAGGCAGAGGCCCTTGAGTCTCCTGTGGTTAAGTAAACTCGGAGAGCTGCCCGCTGCACCAGACTCAGCTGAGCCCCAGAATCCTTCTGAAAATAAAAGATTTATCCTGCAAATTGGTGCAACCTTTGGAAGAACAATGTGTTTGTCTCTATTCTCATTTAAAAGACACATGCCCTTTGACCTAACACTTCTGCTTTTAGAAATTTATCCAAATATGGTTGTAGAGAAAAGTGTACACAAGTTGGCAATACAGTATGACAAAGCGAAATCAACACGAAAAAAAATCATCCTGGAACTTAAACTGTATATCAATAGAGGACTGGTTAAACAAATCATGCATATGTATATTTTGTGTCAAGACTATTTCTGTAAAGACACATAAAGAAACATAACATTACTATCATTGCTATCTCTGGGGAAAAGGACAAGAAACTGGAAAGAGAGACTTTAATTTTGCCTTAAGCCCTTTAGTACTGTGGAATTTTTTTTCCTTTTTTGCAATAGAGTCTAGCTCTCTTGGCCAGGCTGGAGTGCAATGGCTCAATCTCAGCTGACTGCAACCTTTGCCTCCCAAGTTCAAGTGATTCTCTTGCCTCAGCCTCCTGAGTAGCTGGGATTACAGGTGCCCATCACCACGCCCGGCTAATTTTTTTTTTTAGTAGAGATGAGGTTTTACCATGTTGGCCAGACTGGTCTTGAACTCCTGACGTCAGGCAATCTGCCCACCTCGGCCTCCCAAAGTACTGAGATTACAGGCATAAGCCACCGCGCCCGGCCTATGGAATTGTTTTTTTTCAAATGAACTTCAACTTCTTAAGCTAGCTAACAGAAAAAAAGTGAACCTTTATCATTTAGTGCTACTAAACACTTCATTTAACAATATCACTTCATCTTTGCTAAACAGGAACTAGAAAGACTAGGCACAAATAGAAACTGTATAGACCAGATATGCATTAAAATGGGTCTGCTTTAGCAGTTAATGGTTTAATCATTAAATATTCTCAGAAGATCAGGGTATTTCTCTCTAAGGCACTTGCTCTATGTGTTACTGACTCTTCTACAATCTAAGTGGTTCAATTTAAACCATATCCCTTGTGCTAAACATTCGCGTTTATACGTAAAGTCTATTTCACTCAGGAAATTGGGGTAGGGTCAGTTTTTAAGGTTTTGCCCTAAACCTTAAAAAGAACATAAAAATCCTTCAGGTCTTAAAGAAAAAAGATTGATGCTTAGGCCTTATATAGGACATATTAAATCTTTCATATATTTTTTAACAAGCTCCACGGGTAACTTGGATGTGGCTGGCATGGCCTCATGCACACCAAAAGTAACCATGCTTAAAAAACACTGCCTTATCCCAAGGAAACACAGCATAGAGAATTCTGTGAACAAACCTGTTCACTATTGCAGTACTCCAAAGTTTTAAAGTAACCTTCTCAAACACTGATATAGGGCTTAGAGTTAACATTGCAGGTAAGCAAACCCACCAGGCTCTCTCATCGAGGACACAGCTCTTCTGGCTCCTTCGAGGAAGTGAGGACCAGCATGTGGAAGAGCAGGCTTTGGGGCTGGTATTTCTCAAGCGGTGGCTTCAGGCAATCTCAGGGACAGAACCTGGAATATGCATCTGAAAGCCTCCTCTCAATCTCCCACCTCCAACCCATTCTTATGTCCAAATAGTTTGAAACTATTGAGCTAGACCAGTATTTCCTGAACACTGAACTATAAGAGTGGATGGGGTCCCAGCGATCTTTGGCACACCCCAGAGCAGAGAATTGGAAATCTCTACTGGAGGTTTTGCAGTGCCCCAGGTTATTCATCTAAACAGGAAAGTTAGGAAATACCAATTTAGGTCAACCTCGTTTTAAGATAAGGAAATCAAGGTCCAAGAAGTTTAAGTGATTTCACCAAGGACTTATAGCTGGGAGCCGCGAAACCTGGTGAGCTAATTCTTCCCTCTTAGACCAATACTGCTGGTTGTTATGAGTAATCATGAAAGCCCCATTATCTGTGCAGTTTTGATTCACCACGAGAAGACCCTAGGTGATTAATAAAGCCTGAACCTAGGGCATGTCAGAACGCCACTGGTTTAAAGGATGACTGACATGGTAAAGTATCCAACATCAACCCGCCCTTGGAGTTCTTTCACTTTCAGTATCAGTAGGAGGATAAATACGCAAGTATACATTTCATAGAAAAGTAAATCCAGTCCCACAGAGTTACAACCAGGTAAAGTGGGAACACAGGACGATTCAGAGTTCTTGGATCACACCATTTCTTGGTCAAATATTATACCTTCAGCAAAAGACCTCTAATTACCACACACTTTTGGTTATGGCAACAGCCTGCTCCTTTCTGTTGGGACAGAGGAGTACTCCATACCCATGGCCTGAAACCAGGATCTCCAAACTCATCAAAGAGAAACATGGATGGGAAACAAAACCCCCCAGCTTGGAAAGCATCCAGCAAACTTTAATTCAGGGAGTTATAATTGCCTCTAATTGGTCCCCCACACTGTCTCACAACATACAGCTGTAATCAGTTCCACAAAGAAAGTGTTAGCTTTTTTTTCTACCTTGAAAAATCAGAATCCTTTCTTGTTAGGTACTTACCATCACTGCTTTAATTTTTAAAAATATACCAAGACATTGAAAAAGGAAGAATGAATGAATAAAAGCAAAGAGGCAGATGGTTTTTATTTTTTTTTAAATAAGCACTGATCCCTATGACCTTAATGATAACCCAGTGAGATTCAAATTTGTAATGGAGACTGATGTCAACTCAGGAGATCTTTCTAGTCCAGAGCACACGTGGTCTAAAAAACACACTCATCTGGTCAGACATTTTCCAGACTGATTGTCATCTTTCTAGGCATGCTCAACTCTCCTGTAATAAAGTCACAACCCTTTGTTGCCATGGAACCCAATCAGACACGAAGCCTGTTACTCTGACTTCCCGGCAGATACAAAAAAAGACCCAGTGACCAAAAGACCAGCTCCTTCTTTAAAAAAAAAAAAAAAAAATTATAAGGCAAAGAGGCTCCAAAAAAGCCTCAACAGTTTTGTATTGAAGTTTAATTTTTTATGCAGGCTAACCTGAACTCTTCAGCCAAAGCTAGCTCATATTGTATAAAAATTTTTCAGCTGG